ATATAATATGCTGGTTCAGTATAAAATGTAACATTCATCAACCAATATATATATATATATATATATATTGGTTGATGAATGTTACATTTTATACTGAACCAGCATATTATATTTCTGCAGGGTTTCACCACAACTCTCAATTTATTGTGTGGACATTTTAAAAGCTTGCTATATATATTTTTTTTCATAATTATTTTTTTATTATTATTATTTAGGGGTTCTTACCTTCTCGTGGTTCTAGCTTATTTTGCTTAAATTTTTGTTTCAAAACCCCTTGATAATGGCGACTATTTTGTCTGATATTGATGTTAAAAATCCGTAATGATGTGTTGCTCCGGCCATGACCGTTTATTGCTGAGAAGACCTCAATATATTTCTGCAACTGAGGAAAACTTGTAAATGTTATTTAATAAAAGGCTGATTAAGGTTGTATTTTTGCCAGTAGCGCCATCTCGCGGTTTCCGTTTTTAACGCCTTCAAGAGAAATAACAGTTGTTCTGTAATCTCGCGATGTTTCCCAATTCTCTGTCATCCTTGTGGCTTTGCAGAAGGGCACTGAGAGGCCGAAACAAGGTGCCCGGTGAAGTACAAAATCGGCACTTCATTCTTCCAAAATGCTATCCAGACTCGTTTTTCTGTCAGGTATTTGAAGGCTAACATTCTCCGTATCGCTGTAGTAAATAGATATTTTTTAGGCTACTTTCCTTTTTTTAAATTTACATTTGAAACTGACTGAATGTGAAGGGTAAACGGTAGGCCGCGCACTGAGTGCAACATGCTAATGCTAACAGCTAATGTTGAACATTTGTAGGTATTGCTAAGAATCTAGTTAATGCTAGCTTGTATGAATAGTTTTAAAATTCAATTTAACATTGCAAAATGTTTTGTCATCGCTGTCTTTATATAATTATGTTATCGGAATCAACAGCTCTTCACGGCGTGCTAATGTCATCCTATTTACAGCTCTAGTTTAAGGACTTTTTAAAGTGTTTATAATTATTTTTGTATTAGTTTACAACTTTTTAACATTGAATGCCTTCAATCTTATATACGTTTTTTAAGTAATTCGTGTTAAAAGGCCACTAGTGGTTTACTTCTGTTACTTTTGTTCATTATTTTATTTTGGCACTGTCTGTGTCAAGGTGAAACATTGACTAATGGATACTGATAAAAAAAAACTATAATTTTATTGAAATATGATGTAAAATAAGAAGTAAGCATAACTTTGTACTAAGTCACCTTTTCCCCTCTGTTTCCAGCTGGCTCTCTGAAAGGCAGTGGCCCCATTGGAGCAGGGTTTGTATCCCTAACACTTTGCATTTTTCCCCACAAGGTTTTAACACTTATCCAAGAGAAAATGCAGTAAATATGCTTGTGTGTACACTAAGGTGTAGTATCAGTTGGAAATGTTCTTATCATTGTTTATCACTTGTAGCAATTACCATCAATTAGATCTTAGTTGTTCTATATATTATTGTTGTTTTATAAGTTGAGATTTTAGCTCATATTTCCACAAGCATTGCCCACACAATGAATTGATTTGCTGGTGTCTTCTATATCATGGTGTGCAGATGATCCCTCTGCAAAGCAGATTCAGATCCAGAGAGTCTTGATCAGTTCAATGCAGTCAGACCTCTGGCTTTCAATACTGGCACATGTCAGAGTGCTCTGTTGAATGTTGTCTTGTTACAACATAAAATTGTACCCATCAGTTGCTCACTACAGCATATGACACAGTGTTTAGAAAATATGCATTCCTCCTTTTTTTTTCCTACCCCAAGGATCTTTTAATCTTTGCATATTTCATGTCTTACTTCCAAGCCCAGACCATCATACTTTCACAAGCCCAACTTATATTAAACCCTTTTTTTGCTTCTATTTATAAGAAGTGCAGTTTTTATGTTTTATCCTCAGTAAAGTTATTTTTTTAGCATTGAAAAGGACAGTTAATTTAATTTTAGTTTCTTAATACAACATTAAACAAGTCTCTTGTAGAATTTCTTCTTTTTTCACTTTAAGCCTTTGTTGGACAAACAGCTGTTGGATGCTTCAAATAAAGAACTAACCTAAATAAGGCTAGAAGGATGAGTAAAGCAAATTGAAAAACATTTCAATTAGTTCTTTCCATTTTAGAAATGATGGAAACCCAGCATGTTTTAAAGTCTTGTCATTTGTGATTTGTTTTTATCAATTGAAAGTGATGAAAAAAAAAAAGAAATCAATGAATCAGGTTTGGTGTGAAAATTTCAAATTTATTTTTAAGCCTTATTGCGCAGTCTTAAAAGAAATACTACGCCCATAACGTTTTTAAAACTTACTAATCTTCCATTGTCTTTCAGTCTGGTCCAGGCGTCTCGCTCCTTCCAAACATCCTCCCAGAGTCTGGCCCCTGTGCCCCCTCTTCCAGAGAAGGGAGGTAAAGTCCGCCATGGCCTCATCCCAGAGGAGCTTTTCCAGCTCTTGTATCCAAAAACAGGAGTCACAGGTGGGTATTTTAGTTGCACATTTTAAGGTTACATCTCCTTTACTGGGTTAAAAACAAACAAAAAAAAAGCTAAATTATTTTACTAAAATGAAACTGTTTCACAAACATGGCTTGTGAGACTTTTACAGGAGCGATTAAAAACTGCAGCTTGAATATTGTTCACTAGTTCCTGTTATTAACATCTTTATTTTTTCCCCCATCAGGACCATACATGCTAGGCACCGGGCTTCTAGTCTACATGCTTTCAAAGGAAATCTACGTCGTCAACCATGAGACCTTCGCCGCCGCCTCCATTGGTGCCGTCATCATTTATGGTGTCAAGAAATTCGGTCCAAGTGTTGCAGCTTTTGCTGACAAACTAAATGAGGTCCTTATATACTTGCATTTTACACATAGATAAATCCATATCTAGCTCTAGTCTCAATACAGAGACATGTTTAGTCACAGTAATGTAAGAATATACAACCATGAGTATCTGGTGCTACGGATGGAAGTTTGATTCTATGAGGAATTATAAAACGTTACACGATTCATTTAGTAATATAAAGGGTCTTGCTCTCCTCCGCCTTCTTCAGCCCAAAAATACCTCCTCTGCCGTTGTGTTGTTTACTTTTGCAGTTGTTACGTAAGCTACAGTTGCAGAAAACTATTTTTTATAGTTCTTGCCACCATGAGAGCAAGAAATAAATTATTTGCTCTTGTGAAGGGTGCAAAAAAGTAATGTACTTTAAACTAAAGAGAAGGGCAGATTGAAGGCTTTACCTGATGTATTTTATGGAGGTGTGTGGAAGAAGTGAGAGGTAGGGCTTAAACAATCAGAATAATCGTGATTAATCAATTATTGAAATAATTAACTAATTTAGTAATCGATTAATC